TAACTCCTTCCTGTCTTGATGACATGTTTGGGTCAGTAAAACAAGCAAATTGATTGAACTGATTTCTCTGATGAATCACTTGGTTAAATAAAGTTTCCTGTTTTGTTGCGCCACCTTAATCTTTCTCTTTATTTTAATCCTTAAGATCAGGCTCTAATACTCTGAACCCACCGTTTAAAACAGCGTGTAGACTGTGTGAGCTCATTAAGAGCATGTGGTCCTTACAGCCAACAAACATGATCACAGAAGATTAAACACTACTGCAGATTAAAGAGAATAAATAGCATTTACAGTCAGTCTAGAGCAGTAATACTGATCCATGTAAAACGCTTTGACCGTTAATATTTTATCTACAATTTGCCACTAAAGCCGTTTTCTGTGTGGCGAGGTGCTTTCATACTGTCTCATTGCTCCACTTCTAAAAGAATGGCTCCACCACCCTTTAATGTTAGCTACTTATTTAATAAATAGTTATTTAACAATTAAATGTTTTACACTTGTCAGCCAGGAGCGAGTGGAGAGAGAGGAAGGCTGTGTTTCAGTCGTGTGCTCAAATGAAAACATCATAAGCAGCGAACGACCGCTGCTGTAAGCGCTTAGCCAAGTCATTTCCTTTCCTCACTTTACAAATGAAAAACCAAGATGATGACTCGGCTGCTGGTGTTTTCTCATGTTGTCCGTTTGAAACTGAATTTTTATGTAAACAGAAGTAAAGACGGGCGGAGGTTTCTCTGCAGCCGTCAATCATGATGCTACACCCACATTTCAGAGTCACATTAATTACTAAATAAAACATTATTGTGGTAAAAACGACACTTTGAGCCCAAAGCAGCAGATGACCTGCTGAAGTGATGAGAACGTGGAGGGGGCGGAGCTTTAACCCAGCGAGGCGTTCGGCTCTTTGGTCCCAAACTACTGTGAGCCGGTTCTCAGGCAACACCTCAGGGAATGATGTGCTTCAGACTTCCCATTTCCTGGAACAGACTCAGGAAGAAGGAGCTTTTCAGCCCACTGCATGAGACCGTTACATGTTTGTATCCGAGTACAAATGTTCCTAAACTGATGCTGAATTAATGTTGGCTTTAAAAATCAACATACGGTCAGCAGACAAAACACGTCTGCAGCCGCCCTGATCGCGCTCTTCCTTTGCAGTAGCGATAGCAGTAGAGATCACTGCTGTCTCACAATCATTTGTGGCCTTGTCTCGTGAATCTACGATGACCTGGATGACTGAGAACCTTCACAGACAGGTTCAGGTACCGTGGTTTCCTGTAACCCAAATCTATTTATATACCGATGTTGATCAAAGTCCCAAATCACTGAGCTGCTCTGCCTCACTGAAGGGAGGCCGAAAGAAGAGGCAGGGAAAGGACAGCAGGTCGTTTCCCACACAGGCTGCTGACAGTGTGAGATCACTGAAGCAGAGAGTCAGCTGGCTGATGGAAGTCAGGACAAAATTCAGATCGGAAAGGTCAGAAAGGTCAGAAAGGTCAGAAAGGTCAGACGATGGAAGATGTTCACAGGAAACAGATCGAGGTGATGTTTTAAAATTCAGAGCTCGACGAGTGTCCAAGCACAGAAAAGGACTTCTGTTACTGAGAGCTGCTCAAATGAAAGTGACAGTTTGTAACATTTTATTTATATAAATACAACATTTGGCATTTAATACAAAACAATGTATTTATAGCTTCACTGTATGTAAAGTCTACAGTCCTGAGGACGGGCCGTCTATGTTCTCTCACAAAGAAACGTCGAGCTTCAGCGACAGAATAGTTTTCAGTCCAGTTTAAATAACCTTTGCTCCACAGCAGACGGTTGATTTCTTATTAACATCAACACACGGCTTCTTTTGTGGCCGGTCTGTCAAACTGCAACGATTTCCATGACAGTCGTGTTTTTATGTCTCCTGAATCCTGGAGATCGCTGCTGTCCCACGACCATTCGTGGTCTCGTGAATCTTTCGATGACATTATGTGCTGGAGATGACGAGACATTCAAAGCCTTCACAGTTTTACACAGTTCCACAATTTGTAGATGCAGTTTAGTTCAGTGAGCATCTCCCCGTCGCTACGATGGCAGGAAACCCAATCAGGTCATCCTGCTTCTTCACTACAT